GACTGTCCTGTCCACCGTCCAGATCTGTGTCTTATTTCAAATGTCTATCAACCGTCCTTCTTCTCCTCTGAACTCCCTCAGGCGTTCCTTCATTCTTTTGTTGGACAGAAAAATAACTTTCAACTCCTTCATGATTCCATGGACCTTTGATTTAAATGGCCTTTTGAAACATGACCTTACTTTGTGGTTACTGCCTGTGTTTATGACTAAGGCACAGTGAACATTTGTCACAGTCCAAATGCACTCGTGTCCTCAGTCAGGCTGTTGACAGTGAAAAAGGAAGAAGAACATGTGTGAAATATCAGCTTTTCCAGCACAGGTTTGACAAACCTCCTTCATGTGGTTAATGTTGTTGTCATTCCCAGTGGAGCTCCATTAAGGTGGAAGATTATTTAAAAACTGAAGTGAGAGGATAATTGCACTTCATAATACGATTCATGTCTTTCTCCTGCACTCACACGTTAATATTTCTAACAGCGGCAGAGTGACTGGGTTGAGGATGTGCCAACATCCTTCAGCATCGTTTACTTCCTCCTGGCTGGAGGAGGCCGGCGTGAACCCATGCATAACTCCAGGCAGAATTCATCATGCAATACGGGGGAGATACAAGAGCTGCGCTTGGATCTAAAAATAACTGCAGGGGCCAAGGCCGGTCCTGACTGACACGGACATTTAATTTTCCCCCCTTAACAACAATGTGAGCAGCAGACGAGACCCGGGGATTAAACATGGTCTCCATCCAATCAGAAAGAGTAATGTATACACAACGACGGAGGCTAATCTCTGAAAAGCCCTGTGGCACAGACAGGGTCTGGAGTCTGAGCCAGTGGACAATCAACTGTGACTCCAATAAAGGCTGTATATCTGTAGCCAATAATCAGACGGTGACACAGACCTGTTATTAAAGGTTCAGTACGCACACATTTCCAACCAAATAAACCATAACATTGGGCAGCTGGAGGGACTACTATATTATGAAAACTCTATGCTAATTTAGAGTAAACAACGTTCCTCTTCCTAGAAAATCCGTGATACGGCTAGGCTAATTAGTCCCTTCGTACACGGACGCTGTGATAATGACCTGGGAGTGAGTGGACACACGGGGCGCTCATCTCTCTACACACTGCCCCCCCTTTCCGCCCCTGCTCTCCTCCAGTGTTTTCCTACTACCTGCGGCGCCAGCTCCCCGTTGGTGATGATCTTAGCGATCAGGCTCCACTTCCTGTTGCTGGTGGCGTTGTGGATCATCTTCTTCCTCAGCAGTTCGCCCACAGACACGTAGTGGAAACCATAGCGCTCGGCAATCTTCAGACTCTGCGTCCCCTTGCCGCTGCCAGGGCCACCTGAGCACAGAGGGAGAGGTGTTGATGTTTGGGGATGGATTTTTTTTTCAGTGTTTTTTGTGAGTGTGAAACATTGTTCGTGTGGGTGTGTTGTGTGGGCGCGTGTGTGTTCCTGAGAGAAACCCAGACGACGTTAGGCTTGCCTGTAAGCAGGACAGTGTGTGTGTGTGTGTGTTTGCACGTGTGTTGTTTATTTGTGATAGTGTCTTTGGGCTTGGCTGTGTGTGTGTGTGTTATGTTTTTTTCGTGAGTGTATGAGGGGGAGGAGGGCATGAGGAGGTGTTGGTGAGAGGAACAGGTATGTGTGAACCTCCTACGTTTGCTAACAACTCCTCCTCTTCTCAGAGGAGTGTTGGGAGGAGACGGCAGCTCCAGCTGGTGTTGATGTTCATGGTGATTCATACATTAAATGCTACTGTGTGTGATACTGAACAAGGGCCGACATCGTCCAATCACCTGTCACCCGCAACCGCCACCTTTGGTCACGTGCTTAGACAAGTGTATGTTTTTTAACCATGCAGCGATCGAAACCAACTGCAAATGTTTTCGTGCACGAGGGTCCATTGATGTCAAAACCCATTCGATCCTTCCACTCTCTCTCTCTACCTCCTCCCAAAAAATCCAATCTCATCAGACCCTTAAACAAAATCTCTAATATCAGTGGTTCCCAAAATAGAGGGCGGGCCCCATGAGGGGCATGGAACTATTCTCTTTATTTGTGCCACAGCATTCGCTGTACATCTCATCAGTGTACCTGTGCAATCATCGCCCTCAAAAATGTGTCTCTTTTTTGCTGATTGACAGCTGCATTTCATTCCAGGATTTCAGAGATTCTGCGTTGCCATAGAAATGTGAACGGCTACAGCATCATTCCTGGTTGACAGTTATTCAGGAGCGAGGTGAAATTATCCAGAGAACGAGCTGTGCTCTGCTGCTGCTAATTCATTCCATCACACGTTAACTGTCAGAATTTTTGAGGAGGTTTCTGGGTGTAAGAAAGGGAGGGTGGAGGGGGGTGTGAAGACGGGGGGTGAGGAGGGGGCGTGCACACAAGTGGAGCAAATCCTGGTAAATTAGAGGTTATTAATGTATTTGCTGGTTGGCAATAAATTGGGTTTTTACCAACAACAAAGTTTCAGGACCCTGAGCCTGTCAGACTAAACATGTTGATATAATCTGCTGCTGCTGCTGCTGCTGTTGATGCTGCTGTTGCCACCACCCTGTGTTCTCTGTAAGACAGGGCACAGACAGGAGCTCACGAAGACGTGCTCGTACGCAGCTCAGATGAAATGAAGATTGTTCCCAGTCTGTGTGAACATCCTGCCCAGAAAGAACATCACTCCACGTCAGACGGCTGTCGGGAGGTTTTTGTTCTGACGCCAAACTCCCTTTTCGCCGTCTTTAAGAGTGAAGACAAATGACTTGAAGGAGAGTTTATTAATAGCAGCCTCTCCTCCATCCAGATCCACCAGCGTCGCGTTTCTTATTATGCATCCGCCTCTCTTAATTTATGGGATTAATGAATTCATTTGACAAGTTAATGCCGGCCTATCATGGCGATCAGATTAGTGCGCGTCGGAGTGAGTGACGAGAAACAAGATCTCCTCTGCTGATACAAACAGAGGGAGGTGGGGTTACAATAGGAACGCCAGGGAGGACATGTCTGCACACACACAGACACACACACAGCTTTACCGTGTACTGTATTTTATTATTACAGGTAAATAAACTGAGGAAATAGTCGGCTCTAGTTACTAAAACAGTAAATAACTAGTGGTTCATTTAAACTAGGATGAACCATCCTGTTGACGCTCAAACATTCAGAGCTTCGTAGTCGTTTCAGCCTCAGAGAACCAGTGAATACTGCTGCTGCGTGTTCGTGTGTGTGTTTACCGATGACAAGGATGACTTTGGGTCGTGGTCTGGACGGATCGAACACCTCGTACTCCTCTATGAGCTCCGCAGTCTCCGACAGGTCCGAGTCACTTTCGATAGAAAACTGGCTGATGGGAGGGAGACGGTCGTAGCGTCTGTACGGGAAGTTAGGACTGTCGGGCAACACTGGAAAAAAACACAAAATTAATGAATTTGACTGTGGTGAATTCTTGGTTCAAAGATGACGCGAGTCTGTTTCTCACTGTCATGTAACGTCTGACTGACTGGCTGTGCACACGCACATGATGATGTCAAGGTGGGCGGAGCCTCAACTGATAACGCAGATGTGTGTTTCTGGGCTTCGCTCTGGTTTCTGGCACAGTTACTTTTAGCTAAATCTCTACGAGAGGTTTGATCAAATTAGCCCAACTTGATTTAACAGGGGCTCGGGGCAAGATGCACTTTAAGTGGATGAAGTTGCCCTAAAAAATTCACATGATATGAAGTCAAAAATAGGCAGCCCGGCTCCTCATGTTCCATCTCACCACAGGTCATTGTTTGTCGAGGCCAAAAGCTCGACATCTTGGCTGCGTCTACACAAATATGAAGTGGTTGACTTATAAATACTCTGATGTTGAAAAACTGAATTAGAAGTGGGCCGTGGTGAAGGCAGTTACTGAGTCACTGACACTGGTCTCTGGTCTGTGACCAGGAGATTTTTCTCTGTGGTTGTATATTGACTTGAAGATGACAAAATGTTCTTTATGTCTGGAAATGATTTGAAAAAAAAATTCTAAGATGCAAATTAACTATTGACCAACTGAAGGTACAAATTGTCACATCACAGGTGCAAAAGTGACCCAGTTCAGACCCTTATTTTGGACCACCATAAAGTCCAGCCGTCGTCATCTTCCTCGTCTTTGCTTCTCCTTCACTTACCCCTGAATTTTTACGGGCATGTTCAACGACCACAAACATTTTGCCCACATGTTGACCATATTGGTGCGGAGCAGCTTTACTGGACACGCCCATTCATGTTTGAAGGGTTTGAAGGGAAAAACAATCTATTTTTGGGGGTTAGAATGGGAACTCGGAGACTGCTTCAACATTTTAGCTTCGGCAGCAGAACCAGAAGGACAAACTGAGAACTGAGAACATCCACTTCACCTCCGTGTTAATCTTGGACGTTCAACAGGAAGTTCAACAATAGGCCTGTGAACAACAAAGCAGTTTGTTCTTGACATACTGTAGAAAATATCCTGCTCTCACTGCTCACCGTTCCTGAAGATGGACCTCCGGGACTGACCGCCATTGAGGGGTGGGAGGGACTTCTTCTCCTGGCCCACAAACGTATCCCAGCGCACCTTGTCCGTTCCCCCGAGCTCCCTGACTTTCTTCAGACACGACTCCAGGTAGTCGATGGGGTCGTCGGGCCGGTGGTACATCAAGCCAGTCAGCAGGCTCTGAAGAAAACAATGTGGGCGGGGGTGATGAGTTAGAGAGGGTGAGAGAGAGGGTGAGGAATGTGTAATGATGTGCTGTGCGGCTGCTCCTAATGAGCTCAAGTCTTTGAGTGCAGATTCGGTTGCCTTGGCTCAGAACCAACACAGGATCAAAACATTTCAATTTGTCGGGAGTCCGTGAAATTGGGCCGAGTCTGGCGGGCACATCGTGCCGATGACCTGCTGTTACCGTGGAGGAGAGGAGCCGGTGACTTTGATGAATGTGAGCTGCCAGCTCCCCAGCTCACTGATTTCAGAAGTGAAGGTGTGTGTGTGTGTGTGTGTGACATTACTGCCTACTACCCCGAATGGTTTGAAACAATGGCGTCCTGTGGGAATTCACCCCTCCCAGCTCTTTAATCAGAAACCTGCAGCAGCAACATGATAACAGGAGGTGAAACAGCCTGATGTGAACATTAGTGAAGTGATAAACAAATAGACTTTCATTGGAACAGCAGTAAACAGAGCAGCGAGGCAGCGGCCCTGCTAATACTGTGCCTCTCTTACTGTTGAGAGCAATTCCAAATGGATGTAAATAAACAAGCTCTGATTGCCTGCTGCACACATTAGCTGCACACTGTTGACTTCTGCCTCTAATTAGCTGTGTGAGCCAATCTACCCTCGTCCACTCAGGAAAATAAATATTGGATTTCAGTAGTTTTGATCTCGTGCTTTGTCTGTGACTGTCGGAGGGTAAGCGATGTCTGATTTCACTGTATAAAAACTAATAACTGTGCACAAAAAAGAATTGGAAAAACCAGGGCTGAAAAAAAAGAAGCTTTAATTAATACGCGGAGTTTGACTTTTGCGTCGGGGGGCAAACATTTTAACGTCATGGCACGAGATTAAAGATTTAAACTGCTTATTGTACAATGAAATGATAGCTTTACTCTCCACACCGCTGTACATTATAACTATTCCGTGACAACAGTTATAACACATATACAGACAACAGTACCGAGCCTCCCATAAAGACAGACTACACAGCGCATGGCAGCAACTGAAGTTCACTGGCAGCCAACCATAAAGTTCAACTTTGTTATCACAATTATAACAATTACAACAGTTGTTACAGTATGGTTGGAAAAATACAGTACGTTTTAAATAACGTGTCTTACCTGGTGCAGAAGTAAACGCCGCAAAGTTAATGATAGTTTGGTGGTCGCTCTGCTGTGGGCAAGCTCGCTAATTAGCCCGGTGCCGGCCCCGTTAGTTGGGCTCGCTGTTCCGGACCTGGTCCCGGGTGTTTCCTGGTCCGAATCACGTGAAGGCCCGAGCGGCTCTCGTTTAACTGCTGTTGTTGAAGATTTACGTTTTAAAAATAACGGAATATCTAGTTTTAGTTGGACCTATTAACGGTTAGCTATCCCACTAATTAACGAACCGTTGAGTGCTGAAATGAGAGGGAAACCGTCTACGTCACGATGTCACATGACTACGCAAAAACGCATTTATTACCAAATAAAATATAAAATGATTCATTTTTATTTATTCCATACAATCCTTTTGTTTTATTGAAATATTTAGAATATTCAATTTTTATATATAAAAAATAAATATGTATATTGGCCATATAATACACTCAATGTCGTGACATATTTCAGCCAATGGGGAGGCAGTGCCCCTCCTGCCCCCGCCTCGCAAACTCAACGCACTGTATGTCAAAATGTGTTAATTAATTAGTAAAAATAAAGACTTAAAAAAGATTAAAAACTTGGATTTCTTGGCCAGACAACAAGAGAACCAAAATATATCACTAACTTTAACAGAAGCTGAGAACGATGAAAAAAATGTCCTAAATATCGTTCTAGAATTTTTCAAATAAATGTATGTTGTTGTTATTGATAGACAGAACTTTATGAATCCCTGCGGTGTTCCCTTCCTGAAGCGGTTGTTATTCATGTTAACACAGTAAAACAACTGCGTGTTCTGTGTGAACGGAACGTTATTCAAATGAAGGAAATTCAAATCATCCATTAAAAAATACTCCGCTTTAGGGACAAACGGCCAGGGGCTACAGCACCACCTGTTGGCCCTGAGTGCAAATACGGGCTGATGTTGAAATGCATGTCATATTTAACAGCTTATATTTTGTGGACGATTCTTGGACTTAAGTAACAGTCCCGGTGTTTATTCTGAACCACCAGCGGAAAACCAGTCAGAAACAGAGGCTGTCTCAAATCAATTAAAATTGAATTATGCAAATGGAGAGGGCTGTGCGAGGTTTAATTACTTCAGAGTCAGTTTATTCACCAGAGTATAAACACAGGTGGCAGAGGTGGATTCTACTAAATAATAATAATAATAATAATTTAAAAACGGCGTTTGTTTTTCCAATACCAGAGAAAAAACCTGCTTTGTTGTCGTGTTGAGGCATTTGGCATCTCAGTCTTCATCAGATAAATAAAAAAAAAAACCATCTTTACCCGCATCCTGACATGCGTTCTGCAACGCATCTATGAGAAAATGTCCAAAAACCATGTCGTCGGATTAAATCAGCTGATGTGCTGCACTTTCATCTCATCCTGCCCGTGCACACACACGCACACACAAACACACACATTCTCACCTCAAATAGTTGAGGTATCTCCCGCCGTGCGAGGTACTCCTTGGCATCGTTGGTGTTCATCTCCGCTTCTCCTCAGACTTCTCCTCAGTCTTCTCCTCAGTCTTCTCCTCAGTCTTCTCCTCAGTCCTCCCCGTCAGATGTCCAATGGCCCTGAAAGGAATTACACTCACCAGACGAGCTCTAGGCAAATTTGCCCCTCACAGCATTTTGTTTTGCCTCCGGTGTGGACTTTACAACCGGATTCCTCCAGGCTCTGCAGCCGCGCCTCCCTGCTCCGTGATGCGGACGCGCGGCGCGTCCGTGCGCCCTCCCACTGAGCTCTGCCTCCAACGAACGCCGTCTGTGCGCTCTGACGTGGCTGGCACCGATGTTACAGCTGCCTGTGCCAAAAAACATGAATTCAAATCGAGTCACATCTCCTCTGTTTGCCTTAATACATCCACACACACACAGCAGGCTGTTTCATAACAGCACTGACCTAATTATCTGGACTACTTTTCTAGTTTTCCTTTCTATTTTATTTTCCATGTAACTGTAATTAAGTTAAAGTATTTAAATTGGCCACAGCTTTAACTGTGGGTTGACTGGATTTGGTTCTGGTTCCAAGTTAAAGAGGTCAAGGATGCATGAACAGATGCATTTTCTATTGTATATCTATCTATTGAACACAACCCATATAGGCCCCTGTTGTGTGATTCTGCCTTAACACTGGTATCAAATATACATGTCTGCACCATAAATAAATCATTATTTACATACATAAACTCTGGGAATGGAAATAGAAAACAAAACAACATTCAGCAGATAGAATGAAGAACTCTCTTACTTATGAATATTTCTTTCAGCCTATCATACTACAGTGTATTAATAGAAGGTACAGCATAATAAATATAGAGTTTTAGTTACTGGAAGTGAGGGAATTATTTTCCCTCAAACTCTACAGGTTCAGCCACGAGACACTGTTCATCTGTGGTAACGTATTATCAACTGTCACACTGGACTGGGCTGATCTGGTGTGTGGCCACCGTTAACCAGATGTCACCTGTGATTGGTTCCATCTCCTCCATATGACAGTGCTGTAATAAATGAATTAATGAACAAATCAGGTACGTCCTCAGATAGAATCAAGTCATCTTGATAATCACACATTCCACAGCTTGAATTCCTTGTCTGTGTTTTATTGCATTTGAAACTCACAACAGAGCAGCACATTAAATAGTTTAAACAATATATGTGTGAGTTGGTATTTTATTAATGCATGAGAGAGAAAAAAATCAGGTCAACAGCAAAACAACCTTGGAGTAAAATACCATTTTAAAAATGTAATACTGATTAAATGTATGCAACCGAGAGCCACATTTTTGCAGCTTTATGCTCCAAAGGTAATGCATTTAGTGGAGAGCATTACTGTGTGAGCAGAGGGACGGTGCTGCAGCAGAGGTATGGGATGTCTGTGGATTTAAATTGCATGGAAAAGCTGCTACGGTGCCTCATGCTGTGTCAAATTTGATCCAGAAGCAGCTTCTCCCGCAGACCTTCTGCCTTCTGTGCTGTAACATGTCATCAGAATTACATGGATGATGTTTTTTTCATAGCCTCGCTTCACGACAAGCTTCCCGGACAGCTGCAGGACATTTACAGTCCATCATGTCCATGTTGGTTCCCAGTACTGATTCCCACTAATTAGTCAGTGAGGGAATTTAAGCATGACACTGTCAGCTACTGTATATGACATTTAACATGTGCTTATTTTTGTATGTGCTCAGCATAAGCTGTAGCTCCTATGGAAAAAATACTAAAAAAATAATGAACACAGCATGGAACCAATTCTATGCTGGAAGTTAAAGGAAAAAGCAACTATTTGCAGCAACAGTTCAGAAAAACATCAAACATCAGAATAAATGAAGGAGACTGCGTGACCTTGCAGAAAATTTAATAAATTTCCTTTCAGACAAAATCTCATTACATGACATAATAAATCCCCTTTGTTAGGGGACACAATATTACTGAAAAGAACAAGATCTGATGTAATTCACTAAAATACTGCCCAGGAAAAAATAGCTCTGTATTAGTAGTTTAGTTTAATGTGAAAGAATCAAAAATCTATTAAATAAAACGACGTCTGTTTTGAGGCTTGAGGCTTATAATAGACTATGATAGAACAAAATTTAGTTTGTTACACTCTTCTCTAAAATATTTTACATACAATCTCGTGCAGTATAATAGACTATGATAGAACAAAATTTAAAAATAAAAGTTGAAAAAATACAATTGTTCTCGTAGATGACAGTTTTATTTTGAAATGTCCTCACCCGGAAGCAATTTTTGGGCGGTGTCGCTCGTTTTCACTTCCTGTACGTCCGTCATTCGCGGTTACACCGCTCCAAGATGACTCTGTTCACTTTACTCTTTTTACTTTCTTCTTGTCTGTTGGTTTATTGTATTAACATCGAAGTAAGTAGTTAATTTCCTCAATATGGAATAATATTTCGTTTAAAAAAAGATAAATATAATCTAAAGTGTCAGTCTCGCTTATGCTACTTGTTAGCTACCGTTTGTTTTGGTGTTAGCCTCGGCGCTATTTTAACGCGTAACCGGTTTAAAAATGTTAATAATTTTGACCCTTTTTTTGACAGGATAATGTGGGGCAGTTTTTCAGCAGTGGTCATACTAATAACTGGGCGGTGCTGGTGAGAATTCACTTGTGTTTAAGGCAATTCTAATTGAATTTCGAGGAACTGACCCTAATGTGTTTTATTTATTTTTTTTAAATGTCCTATTCAGGTGTGTACATCACGGTTCTGGTTCAACTACCGTCATGTAGCCAACACTTTGTCTGTTTATAGAAGTGTTAAAAGACTGGGTATTCCAGACAGGTAAGAGTGAAGTTACATTTTTCCGAAAAAAACACAAAAGCAAAACATATTTAACCTCAGGACTATCTAAAACGCTTTTAGTCCATTTAGATTGAAGTTAGGAAGCAAATATTCTTTTCAAATATATTTCTTGCTGATCCTTGTTCATTAAAAGTTGTCAAATGTCATGCAATGTTGATGATGTTTATTTACGTTTGCTCTGTGTCACTGGATCTGTTCTCTGTGTTTACCTGTGTTTTACGATGAAACTGCATGCATTCTGTCTTGGTTGTTTCTTGATTTTTGTCTCTTTTCCAATGTGTCTGCGTTCAACAAAACAAACCCAGATTGCAGTGCTTTGTTTGGGTTTATGAACATGTCTCTGCGTTGCCTTACGTCTGTCGAACCTATGCTGAATGTAACATAAATGTTCCTAAACAAGTCCATTGTCGTGTTTCCCGTCTGCAGCCACATAGTGCTGATGTTGGCCGATGACATGGCCTGTAACCACAGAAACCCAAAACCTGCCACAGTGTTTAGCCACAAGAACATGGAGCTGAATGTTTATGGTGATGATGTGGAGGTGGACTACAGAGGATACGAGGTGAGTTCCTCAAAGATGAGCATTAATACGATTATTTTTATTTATTTTTATTATTCTTTGACACATGACGACACTGTGTATTATTACTCTCTGATGTTTACTTTGTTTGGTAAAATTACAAAGTACCAAGGAACCAGGCGTTTCTGTTTGGTATGAACACAGAGATTTAATCTGTGTTAACGTGTCATTCAAGGCATTTTTTTATCTGGTTTATCTGGTCTGGATTGTTATCAATCTAACTATGTTGTAACAGACGTAGTAAGACTGACACCAATCTTTTTTTCACAGTTCACTATCTAGTCATGTTCTGTGTAAAAATGTATTATTTCACCTGTAGTTTATCTACTCCTGTCAGTTGTACGTAGATTTTAAGATTAAGTTTTATTTCAACGTTGTAGGTCACAGTGGAAAACTTCCTGCGAGTTCTGACAGGAAGGCTTCCACCCAGCACTCCTCGCTCCAAACGGCTGCTCTCTGATGACAGAAGCAACATCCTCATCTACCTGACGGGTATTTGAAATGACAAATACGGCCTGCAATTTGCAGTAGTATATTATGAATTAGGAAGAATGACTCATTAATAACAATAATAATAATAATGATGATGATGATGTGTGTGTCCATCAGGCCATGGTGGGAATGGTTTCCTGAAGTTCCAGGACTCTGAGGAGATCAGTAATGTGGAGCTGGCTGATGCCTTTGAGCAGATGTGGCAGAAAAGAAGGTAAATGATGGAGAAAAGCTCATATGAATAAAATCATTTATATTTTTCAGTGGTTTAAATCATCAGCCCTTTTGGTGTCTCTCTGTGTAGCAAATTAAAACATCCACGGTGACTCAGATGCTGAATGAGTGAAACTGTTTTGTTACCAATTGACGTCTACTGTTCAAGTTCAGTGACTCCAGCTTGGATGCTGATGAATTAATTGCAGGTTTAAGTTGTAAAATTACAGCAGCAGCGGCTGAAAACCTGATCACCATCATCACCATCATCACCTCAGTGGAGAAGGAAAACTTTTTAATCTTCTTTTGTGAAGGTCAAATAAGTTCTTGGTGGAAAAATGTAAAAGGTTAAAGCAGGGTGAACAGGGAGAGGTGTTGCTGTCTCAGTGAGTCAGATGGACCAAATGGAGACGGTGGTTTTACCACGGTCACCGTGGCAACTACAGCAAGGAAAGGTGGTGTGAAGGTTTTTATGATGAGTTTATTGGAGAAAATGAAGGAAACATGATGTCAGCAGTGTATCTGCTCATCAGTCATGTCTGAGAATGGACTGTACATTACTGTTTCTGTGTGTGTGTGTGTCCAGGTACAACGAGCTGCTCTTCATCATCGACACGTGTCAGGGAGCCTCCATGTACGAGAGATTCTACTCGCCAAATCTCATGGCCCTGGCCAGCAGTCAAGTGGGAGAGGACTCTCTGTCGGTGAGTTTGTCTTTGTCGTCTTGGCTCCTCCCACTTTGTTAGACCATGAAATCCTTTGTTCTACTAACAGTGGTGTATTATTTAGGTACATGTTTTTTGCCAAACCAGGTTTAAATCAAAGCCAAATTCACTTTTGTTCTGCTTGTTCTTTTCCAGCACCAACCTGATGTGGGCATCGGCGTCCACCTGATGGACCGTTACACCTTCTACCTGCTGGAGTTCCTGGAAGACATCCATCCTGCCAGCAAGACCTGCATGAATGACCTGGTGAGAGCGAATGGTCACTTTACTTTGTTATGTTAAACACAGACAATCATTTTTAGAACAACATTTTTATATGTAGAACTTCAGGAGCGACGCTGTCCAGGTGCTGAACACAAAACAGACATGAAACTGAAACTATAACAACAACGTTCCTGAATATTATCTAATGATATTAGCAGCCAGAAGTAGCAGAAGACACTTTATACAGTAGAACCTTTGAAGATCTAATCCATTCAACACAGAGACTAATGTGTAACTCTGCGCCGTCATCGGTCTTGTGTAACGGTACTGAAGACAGCAGATGAAAGTCAGATGAAACAGAATGACTGATACTGGCTCAGGTTCGATGCTCTTTGACAGGGGTAGCCAGCTCCCCTCACCCCTTCTCCCCACCAGCCACAGCTCACTCTCCGCAGCTCCTCCCTTTTCATCTTTCACACTCCTGTGGAGATCCATTTACCCAGAGGGCCACTTGTCATCTCCTCTGCCTCCCCCATCTTCCCTAACCCGGAGTTTAAATCATAAAAGCCTCAAATCTGTTCTTGGGGACTGAGTCCAGCTTCAATCGATGTTCATGGGCGCAGGATAATTCTTCTTCCTCATATGTTTCCTCTTTCTGAAGATGCACCTTTTTGTTCTTGTGCCATTTTACAGAATAGTGGATCAATGAGATTGATTTTTCTCTGATGGAGCCCGTGGAGTTTTTCTTCTCTGATCCAGTCTGCAGAGGTTGTGGCTTTGATGTAATAAAAATTGACCCCATCCCCCAGAGAACGCCACCTTTAGCTACGGTGTTTGGCTAATGCAGATAACATTGACGTCCTCTTGTTTAATGATTTTATCTCTTGTCAAATAAAGTCCCCGGTTGGACACGCACTGGTGAAACACAAGGACGGAGGACTCATCCCAGAGTGTTAGCACAGCAGGCGACAAAATTTTATATTATTGACGACACACACAAATGTCAGACTCTGCTCCTCTGATCTTCTCCCCACACTGTCACACTTGTCTTTTACACCTCCCACCACAGCTCCTGTTATGATTGGATGCAGCTACTCCTACAGGGAGCTGCACTACTGTAGAAGTTAAGATTTAAATGCATCAACAATGACTGTGTATTTATTAAACTGTGTTTATTTCCATGAAGTCTTCTCTAAGTTTCTAGAATGTCAGACACGTTGATTTCTGTATAAAGTAGCAACACAATCAGTTATATTCCGTAAAAGCATCTGTAGTGTAGTGGTTAGCAGAGAGCAGTTTAATGTAATGTAAATGTATTGTCCTCTGCTGGCCAGGAGTGGCGGTGCACTTGAAAGGCCTTAATGCAGCAATTCTCTGCTTTTCCAGTTCAAGGTGTGTCCCAAGAGTCAGTGCGTGTCTACGCCCGGCCACCGCACCGACCTGTTCCTGAGGGACCCGGGAAGTGTCCTGGTCACAGATTTCTTTGGCAGCGTTCGCAAAGTGGAGATCACCATGGACAGCATCAACCTGACCAGTGTCGTCAGTCACAGGAAGGAGGAACCGTAAGAACAAACAGTTTTTTAATTTTCTGTTTTTTATCAAAGGATTTGAACATCTTCGTTCAAATGTAAATACAGTGTTTGAGAAAACACACAAAGATACAAAAAACCGAGTTATTTATTTGCATTCATAATCATAGTTTTTGTTAATGGATTAATTAGTGTAACAGAGCTGAGTAAGTAGTTACACATCAGCCAGTACTGTAGTTGTTTTTTGAAAATCTCTGACGCTACCTGGTGGTGAACGGGAGTAAAAGCATTAAAATCAATTCTCCAGGCTTTAATTTGGGATGGTCACCACAAGATGGCAGTAGTGTCAAGCAAACGGACTGCTCATTCTCTTTGACTTTCTGCTTGCTCAAACAATTCAGATGATTTTTATAAAACAGAAACTGTAATTTTTAAATAAAATGTGCCAAATCCTCACAGTTTTCAACCTTTAGTTTCAACAACTCAGCTCTTTTGCGAGTAATTACTTTGCTCACTTCAGCAATCTAACAGATGTATTAAGTGTAATGTTTTTACACCAAGCTCATAGAAAAGGGAAATATAACACTTGGACCATCAGGAAATGTGGTCGAATCCCACATCTGGGCTCAGGCGGTCGGAGGAAAATCAACCTGAGGAACAGGAGCAACAAATGTATTTTATTGGTCTGCACAGCAGCCAGACATTCTTTTTATTTTTGGCTGCCCTCTGCAGAATGTAACTTCATTCCCTTTATTACGCTCCATGACACCTTGCCCAGAACTTATTGTCAGGTCAGAAATGTGGCCCAGAGAGCTTTTCTCCAGAGTGAGGATGTTGGTGCTGAGGTAACGTTCTGTGCCTGAGAATGTCTGACGTTTCATCTGTGCACAGATTGAGGTTCTGCATAAACAAATGTGAGAGAAATTAAAACTTTATTCATGATTGCCCCCTCTCTCGCTCTTTCCTTGTCTCTCTCTCTCTCTTCACTTCTGCTTATTTCATTAGCCCGAGTTGTAATTGAACCATTGGGACGCATTAATTTCATTAGCACGGGTTGTAATTGAACCATTGGGACGCATTAAAGTCGGAGAATCTAATGTGCTCGGCTGCTAATTAGTAATTAGAGGCAATTGCTCTGACGATTTTAGACACTGTTGGATGTTTGGGCCTGGGGGCAGTTAGTCATTCCATGAAACCCCCTCTATTGGTTTAGTATTGATCGGGGCCAATGCATTAGTATTGCTGGTCATAAAAGCACATTCTAGTCTGATTAAATTGGCTGTCGCCACATTTCAGTGCGGCACAGAAACATTTTATGTGCAGTTCTGATGTAAGACACCAGCAATCC